AGGATCTCAGCCTGTGATTTTAGAAGATAAGAGACCAAAGAACTGGTAACGGCAATGGCTGCTGAGTCTTCTATTCAAGCTGTGTTTCTGTACCTCTTGAGAGAGGATAGTCTGAGTGAAATTTTAGTTTAGGGGTTTTTAGCAATCAGCATCTTTCGTTCTGTTGTGTGTACTTCAACCAGCATCTTTACAACTGTGTAGTGTATTTGCTGTACATCTTTATTCTCTCCAAGAGGGGAGAGGTGAGGGGAAGATATAGGAGAGACCCATATTTAACAAGTAACTGTTCTGAGGATCTCTTAATGGTAAATTCCATACTGAATAAGGCCCTGAAGGTGCAGCGTTTTTAATACAAACTTCTAGGGAAGAACTCTGAAAGTTAACAAACTTATCTTTAATTTTATTGCAAAACTGAATTTGAGTCTTGTTAGGGAAAATATTGTTGGAAGTACATATGACAAGGCTGGTGAGTGGAGAAGATAAGGTTGTGTCTAAAGCAAATAGCTTACCAGGAAAATTAAGGCTGAATAACTTATTTTTTGCCTTTTGTAAGGTCAGAATGATGCATATGTTCCATTATAGGCTTTCCCCATCAGGACAAGGTCTTTAAAATTTCTCTTTGATGCTGAACTATTGCATAAGAAAACGTTCAAATACTGTATGTACCCTGTTGCATCATCATGGTATGGTGACCTTGCTTATACTGAATCCAGCTGGATTCAAGCATTCTTCATTGTTCCAAAGCAATCTCCTACACCAAGTGGAAGTCACTTCACTTCCTAAAACTTTCTTTAGTTCTAGGTAGTTGAGTAGGCAACAATGTTGTTCTTTTTAGTTGTTCTTTGCTTCTTTGTTGACTGTTTGTTTTAAATTGGGAGAAGTTAGACACAAAATTTGTAAAGCAGTCAATGCATCGAGCCTGAGATTGTGTTCCTGCTTTTAAAAAGGAAGTTGGTTAAAATAACTTGCTGTGATAAACAGTAAGCATTTTCTGTATTCATTAGTTATAATCATCAGGAACTAGAGGAACTAAGCAAAGACCTTTATTTTGTCTGGACTTGAATTTGAGAAAAGCTGGCTTAAACAAATTACTGTAAATTGTGAGTAAAAAACAAGTTAGCCACTTCTTGGATTAAAAGAGTAATAGCATTGCTTAAGGGAAAAAAAAACAAATTTATAGGGAATTTAAGAACAAAAAGACAATAAAATGGATCCTAATAGCACAGTCCTGTAATAGCAAAAGAAGGCTTATTGCAGCAAAACTGTGTTTAAGCTTCTAGGAACAGGAGATCTGTGTTCAGAAAACTTTTTTTTTTTTTTTTTTTAATTGGATAGGGAATTCTTGAGCCCTTGAGGCTCATTTAGTAAACTCTGGAATGCTAAAAGAATGAGGGGATAGGCACAACTAGTGATGTGTTGTATTTAGAAAACCTAAACAGAATGACTGGAAGTAACTCTGTCAGTTAGTCTGAGACAGATAACTAAAAGAATTCTAGGCTGAAAGGCCTGAAAAATACATGGAAATACAAAGAAAGGTGCCATAGGTAATGTCAGCCAAGACTTCTAATGACAAGTGAGTCCAAAATATACAAAGTCAGAATTTGCCTGTAAGGAACCTTTTTACCTTTTCTAAAAAAACAAACTAATTAGTAATTCTGAGCATTGAGGTTTTAAAGCATCTAATGACTAGTTAGTTAGTTGGGGCTAGCAGAATTTTGCTATTGAATGTGGTCAGTTTCTTTCTAAATAATCAGCAGAATATGTAGTTAGGATTTGCAGGTGGCTTGCATAGGGAAATAGATGTGGAAGAAAATGAGCAAGAGTATCTAGTAAATGTGACTTAAATGAACTTAATGTCAGTCTTTAAATTGCCAAATGTTTGCCCTTTGTCCTAAAAGCAAATGCCTGTGATGTGGAAAGTGGAATCTAAAAGGAACCTAAGGCATCTTGTTGGTAACCACTGACCATGGACTTCCATTCTAGTGAAATAGTGAAAAGATTAATCCATAGATGTATAGAGAATATCAAATGGAAATAGAGAAATGTTAGGCATTTCTGTATAATATTAGGTATGATGTCCTCTGCTGTTGTCAGCACCTCAAAAAATATGATGGCAGATTTCAAGTGATCTTGAAAACTTGCCTTGTGATTTGTTTGTTATTTTTTCAAAACTACCTTGCATGTGAAAAAAAGAAATTGGGCTGATTTTTCTTTTCAGGGATGCTGTCAGGTTATTAGATACAGTCTGAAAATACATAATATCTAGCTAAAATTATTTCTCTGTCTCCTTAATGTAGCAGACAGACCTGACGGTGTAAACAGTCAAGTTGGAATTAGTATATATTTTAACAGTAAAAGTAATTTTTGCAACAATTATAGTGTGTACTTTGATCCTTCTAGTCTTTACATAAGGTTTATAGATACTGAATAGCTGTCTAGTTCAGTTAGAGGTCTAGATGTAATTTAGGACTCTCAGGATGAGATTCTGTGATCCGTGTTATGCACCATTTCATCTTATTGATTGAAGATTGTTCCAAATTGTCCTCAGCCAGACTTGGGTAACTCTGTTCCACAACTAGTGAAATGAGGGTTTGTGCTGCTGGATCAAATGAAGCAGGTGTTCATCTTGGTTGTGACTTTAAAAGTGTCAGTCTTCCTATCAGTTTTATGTGTGTATCTGAATGCTAAGAAACTGACAACAGAAATCTGAAAAGCTTGTTGGGGATCATTAATCTGGGATAGTCTTCTTACAGTGATGTTTTGTTTGCAGGTTAGCACATGTAACATATGTAGCGTATGTACTTCTGTGTCTACTTCACATAATACACTGGCCTTCCTGTGGGTGAATATTCTGTTTAGATTGATAATTCTGTGTAGAAATGTATTAGCTTAGTGTTCCGTCTTCCAAAGTTTTGTCGTTGCATGGTGAAGCCATGAGGAGTCACTAGTAAGGGAAAAGGCAGAAAATGAGTCAGAGCAACTGATTGTAAGTTACTACATTTTAGTAAGTGGGAATTAATTCCAGTGATGACTTTCTCTATGCCTTTAATTTTGTGGTATTAAAGGTAGATGAGCCCTTTTGATATGGACTAAAAACAGTACTAGCTTAATATTAGGTGATGCCACATAACTTTTACAAATGATGTTTGCAGATGGTTTGCAAAAAAAAAGTTTTCCCATAAATTATGTGCTAACTATAGGTGTTGGAACATCTTGGTGAGCGTATCTTCTGTGATTTGTACTTTTTAGAAGGACAGGTATACTGACAATTTGTATTTAGAGGATACCTGGTTTTACCCAAAAAAAAGGATAAATTAGCTCTGCTCCAGAAAAGACATAGCTGACTTCCCCACACACAGCAAACAGAAATATAATCTGATTGCATATAAACAGTTTAAGTAAATATTGCAGCATCTTTTTTATGATACTTCACTCTCCCCCACACTAGTGACCTTTAAAAGTTTTTGTTACAAAGTGGCTTTGAGGTGTTTTTTCATTTCTTAAGATTTGACTGTTAAAAGAAAAAAATCATATTTCAAGTAATTATTCTCCTTTCTGCCCCAAATATATATACCCTTATCAGGTGAAAGTATGTAGGCAATAGCTCTGGAATAGGTTGTTGCTGTGTGGTGGGAGACTGTTCTCATTTATTAAAGCAGTTCCTATGTTCAGGATTGTCCTTGCTTCTTATAGTTCAGCTGTACCCATTTTTCAAAGCAATAACCTAATTGCTTGTACTAATTAAAGCCTGTTAGCAAAGCAGTACAGTATTTAGGTCAGCTTTTCTTCACTGTCCTTTTGTGCTTGTGCCTCCTGTTCCTGGCATTTCCCAGTTGCTGCAGGTCCTCTTTTCAGACCTGTGGCATGTCAGCCTTCATTGCGATGCTTGGTGTTCTGCTGCTGTCCTATTCTGCCTTAAACCGCATGACCCATTTTATGTATTGTCATCCTGTACCACTAGTAAAGACAAGGTTGGCAAAATTCAAATAGCTTCTGTCAGAGGTGTACATAACTAGACTGGTTTTAACTGGTCAAGTGTAGAGTGGGCAGTCTGAATTATCCTTTGGTTGGAGGGATCTGTAGTTTGGTGTCTAGTTTGCAAGCCTGGTGAAGGTGCACAGAGCATTACTGTGGAGAAGAAGAGAAGGTTAGCCCCAAGAAACTTTTTTCAGGTTCCCAAATCTCTTGCTGCTGTTTCCAGATGTGTATGAGTATTTGACATGGAACACGGAATTGGAGTGGATCCTCTGTCGTAGGACTAAACTGTAGGGTATGTAACATGAACTGTGTGTTGCTCTCCTGCAATTAATCTCTTTTTCAGTGTCAGAACTTCTAAGTTGATACTTCCAAGATGCAGTGTCCTTCTGCAAATACAATTTTGTAGACAAAACATTCTTAATGCGATAAGTGACACATCTCTTGAGTCATGCAACTTGTCCCTTCGATTGAGATGCACATTTGAACTATTTCCCATGCAGCATGGAATTTGCTTGTGTAGCAGAACAACTATTTATTTATTTATTTTAAATCTATTCTGCTCCACTCTTGAGGTTAGTCTTATCCTCAGCTTGGCCATCACTTTTACAGTTATGCCTTCTTTTCCATCTCCCATGGCTGTCCGTCCCACTCTTCATATAAAAATTCCTCCTGGGATTTCATTCTAACATGTGAAGTGGCACTTGTCTATTACCAACTGACCCAATAGTTGTTTATGAGGATATTTTTCATCTTCCTGAAGAGGAAGATCTTGACACTTTAGAAAGAAACTGAAGCTCTGATTAAGTACTTCTGCAAGGAGGAGGAAAATATTTTTAAATAAGACAAACTAGAAGTATAGAGGTCTCTTCTTCACATTGCTTTCATTATCAGTATTTATCTTTTCTGACAAGGTTCTCTGGGAACAGTTTTCTTGAGTTTGAAAATCAGCACATTGTCTGAGTATCAGCTATAGAAGAAATTTATTTGAAGAACTGTTTTCGTGTTGTCTTTTCTCCTATTAGGAAGTTCTTTCTGGAGTCGTGGTCATAACAAGTAAGGACACAGTCCAGCACCAAGGTATCTCATTAACGATGGAAGGATCAGTAAATCTGCAGCTCAGCGCCAAAAGTGTGGGTGTGTTTGAAGCTTTCTATAATTCTGTCAAGGTAAGACCTGTGCAGGCTAATATTTTTAGCACAAGACTTTTGAGTCTTTTCTCAAATTAACTCTTTCCTTCGTCATTGTCAGGTAGTTATAGCACTTCATGGTAGGTAAACAATAGAAAGTGGAGAAATGCTTAGCATTATCTAGGTATATATGATGACATTTTGGGGGGCGGAACTTGCACTGATTGGAGAGTTTTCTTTAGGGCTGAAATACAGTAACATAAATAGTATGGTTACTGGATGATGTATTGAACCGCCATGGCTTAAAGAAAAATAATAAAATGTGTGATGTTTTGTTTTGGTTGGGTTTTCTTTGGTTTTGTTTTTTGGTTTTTTGTTTTTTTGTTCTTTTAAGCGACTGAGTTTAATTGGACTTTTGTGCCAGATCAGTCACAGTCACAGCAGTTTCTGTGGACGCCATTGAGGCTGTGTGTTACTAGACTTGATGCAGGACCTGCACAGATTCTTCTGTGGAGTATGAGGCTTTGCACAGACATTGTGGCATTTGGAATCTAGCAGGGCAAGTTATCTCAGGCTCCAAACAAATGTGGCTGTACTGATTGAAGCAAGGCTGGCTCTGTCTGGAAGCAGTATAGCTACATTTGCAAAACAATTTGCTTAAGTTAGGGTAGCCTCTGTGCATTAAGGTCTTCGTTTGCATCATAGTTAATTTGTTTATAGTATGAGTAATCTGCTCATATATGATTGAAAAACAGAAAAAACAGTAGAAGCAATAGATTTTCTTATTCCTGTCTAATAGAGGGAAAATAATAGTAAAACTCCAGAGAGAAAAGAAGTGTCATCTTCAGGCAGGCTTCCCAAGTCGAATCATAGTTAACCATTGTTCCAGTGAGAGACTAGCCCTAAATATAGACCTTTAGGGTGAGAAAGGGCTGGGGAGAAGGTAGGAGGGAATGGCTAACTGCTCAACCAGCACACATGCATCCTGCTGCTACTATTAAGGGTCATAATTTAGAAAATGGAACTCCAATTTCCAAAGTGCGTGAGACTCTGGTATTTAGCTCTCTGAATGTTTGGCCATTAGCATGATACAACCATAAAATAGATCACAGTTTGTTTTCTTGAGGAAAGCATTCTTAATATTTGTTTTCATTGTAAGACTGGAGAGTTCTGTGTTGTGAGTCTCTGGAAATGCACGAAGTCTATTAGAGTTTAGTTGATGTTGGTTCTTGCAATGATGGGGCTGCCACTCTGCTTCAACCTTAAACCTCTTAATGTTTATCTTTACAGCCTATTCAAATTATTAACAGCACTATTGAAATGGTAAAACCAGGGAAACTTCCCAGTGGCAAGACAGAAATTCCATTTGAATTTCCACTGCATGTCAAGGGGAACAAAATTCTGTATGAGACGTATCATGGTGTCTTTGTTAATATTCAGGTAAGGCAGTCATATCTGTAAAGAAAATCTGAACCTTTGTAATCTGCAGAATGTATTCTAAAGTATCTCTTGTTCCATGGAAGCAGAGGATAAAGTTTTGTGCTAATTTTTTTTTTCATAGTGCAATATGTTTTGCTTTCTCAATTTGAAGAATGAGCAGAAAGTTAGAGAACCTTTGAAGTATGTAGCTTTTATGCTTCCCTTTATTAATATAGCATTCTTCTAGTGTGTTCTGTATTTTCTAGATATAATTTAAGATTAAAAATGATGATACATGTTAACCTTTTAAGTATTAGTTTGCAGGTAGTTTCTGGTTGCCTTTTTCAGTTCCAGTTTCTAGGTGTCAACACGTTCCACAGGTGGTAACACTTCTTAAAAGTGGCAAAGGAACCATCCTGAGATCTTGGAATCCCATCAATATAATATTGTTTTTATAGAACTGTTGTGATGTTTGTTCCCTCTTTCTTTTCCAGCAGTTTTAAGCTTTTCATTGGAAATAGTTGATGGTAATGAACCTGATCAGATGTAAGATGGGACGTATAAGAGAGAATTAAAAGCATACTAGAAAGAGGGGATTTAATTTGAGAAAGGATAAAATGTATTTTCCACGCTTGTTAAATCTGGTACAGTTCTCTTACAGGGTGATGTTTTAATCTAGTTCTGATGTTATTGTGCAAGAAGTTGCATTTATCGCTTTGTAGATAATCTATATAGTAGTACACGCCCAGATACAAGCGTATGTACTGTTAACCTAGTACCAGTGACACTTTGTTAGCATAGTAGACAACCAATTACTGCTAATAATACTTAAATATTAAAAATTAAGTGTACTGACTTACCAGATGCATTTTAACACACAGGGATAAGTCCTGCAGGAACAAAGCTGCCTAGTGTTCAGAGTCTGTTTTCCTGCATTTGTGGGAAGTGTCCTCTAACAAGAGGAAATCTTTCCATCACTTATTGTTTCATGTCTTCCATATGGAGTAACTCTTTAAAGAACGATGGCATAAACACAACAGCAACAAGATGTCTTGCCTGAAATACCTTTTCAGAACTACTGTAAGATACATCTGATCCCTCCTCATGTTGTAGACAACTACGTCCATTCCCTTCATGAAAACAGACTGCGCCACAGTGCCCTTTGTTCAAAACAAATGTAGCTGTGTAATTTCATAATGAAGACTCAAAGCAAAGACTGGAGAGCTTGTAGCATCTTCAGAAACATTGTTTTCTTTCCTGTGGAGATGAGTAGCAACATTTCCTGCCTAAATCTGTATGTACTACATGCTTGTAACAGAGTCTTGTGGAAACAGTTTTGATACTTGACCGTTTTTTGTTAAAAATTGTCTTGCGGTAGGTGGGTTTGTTTTGGGGGGGGTGTTGGGCTTTTTTTGAGGGAAAGTTTTCAGCCATTGCTTGAATGTAAATAATTGTGTGTTCTTACTGAGGAGTGGTTTGTTGGTTTGTTTTTTTTTTTTCAAGGAAAAAGTTGAAGGAGCCACTAAATGTAAAATTTTTCATACCAGTGCTGATGAAGAATCACTGGGTTGTAAAGCTCTTTTAATTTTTTTTTTTCTACTTGTAGCTCACTGATGAGAGTGTTGGATTTGATGACAAAGTCTAAAACTGTTAGCCTATTTAGCTGAACTGTAAGTCTTATATTAGAGTCTGGGATTTAAAAAACCTTAACAAACCAAAAACCCACTGAAAAAATCCCCATCTACTAGCCTATAGGAAATAACTAAAACAAAAATTCCCTTGTTTTTTGTCTACGTTTGGATGGTTTTTTTAAGTACTTCCCATATCTTTTTTCAGTCTTGGCTTTCTTCCCAATGTAACATCTGTTATTTGTGTTAGGTGTGTCAGAAATGGTGCAAAACTGGTTGAGTTGCTTTCCATAATCCAGATAACTTGCCTATGATCAATATCAGTTTTTCTAAGGTATACATTAGTGGAGAATATTTGTTTTGTTTTGTCATTCTCTCTCCCATCTACATAGCTCCTCTTTACAAGCTGGGGATAAAATGTAATTAAAAGGTTAATCATTAGATTTCAGCCAACCTTTGAGAGACCTGCTCTCCTGAAGAGTAAAGTGTCATCTCTCCCAAGGTTATTTAAGGTGCACTAATACCTGATAAAACAGATACATAGATATAAATTGGGAAACGTTAGGTCTGCTTTCTAGAAGATCGGGCTTGAACTGCTTAAAAATACTTTACTAATCTTAAATAAATCAAAGGAAAGACTTCATTTGCTTCTAATGTGTTTATATTTGTACTCTGTCTAAATCAAGAAATGGCAAAATAGACTACAAACAGTATACCACCTATTTATTTTTTAATTTCAGTAAATAAAGGCGCTGTTTTAGAAAGATTTCCTAGACCTCTGTCAAAGTTCTGTGCAGTTTAAAAGCAAGCCTCTATTTCTTGACTAGGTATCAGTATGTTAGCTGGCAGTTCAGTACCAAGATTCAAGTCTCTGTTTTCTTGCAGAGACCTTCTAATTAGACACTGATGGGGAGGCTGTGGGCCGAATTGCAAGGCATATGTGGTCCTGCTGCCATATTGCACTGTGTTCCCTGCTCTCAGTGAAGTGCAGTAACAGAAGGTTTGTTCAACAGTGATAAACTTCAGTGGAAACTGTAGTCTGTGATGGATAAAGAGGTGTGCTCCCCAGTCTCATTCCTGCGCACATATTCAGGTTATGTGCAGAGAGACACCATGAACTAGAAGTTCATCTGTAAAGAAGGAATTCAAAACAAAACAACAAAAAAACCCACTCTAACAAATTCCCTATCTTGTAAGGACATTGAAAGACTATGTTATAGATGCTGACGTGTACGGTTGCTGTGATGACCAAGGTCATACTATTTTTCAGTCCCTGGTTTATGGCTCTCTTTTTAGGGGAGAAAGAGAAGGAAATTGGCAGCAAGGTTTTGAAGAGTGAACAGCAAAATTAACCTTGTTGCCTGACATTACTGCAGGTTGCTGCTTTTAAGTTCAGTTACATGGTTAAAGACAGTTTCTCATTAAATATGTATATAACTTTTGCCACTGTTAAATTCAAACTTGCAATGAATTTAAGAAAAGAGGGCTGTGAATATATCTTATTGATAATCACTTATCCAAAGTATGGTGAAAAGCAGTACCGTAATCACTCTTAACTGTATGTAATTTGGGTGCTGAAGCCATGCAAGAATACTGCGCTCTGTCAGTGAATTAGTCCCTCAATCTCATAGGTTGTTACATAACACACAAGATACAGAAAGCATTTGCAAATGACTGTGGGACTGTAAACACACAAAAAAAATCAACTTTCATTTGGGAGCATCATTGTATACCTCTTATCTCCTTCTGCTCTCCCCATCACTGGTATGTTCATTGCCTACTAATATCTTCTGAACGGTGCCTTAAGTATTAATAGCAGTAACATTCTGCATGTATGCAGTAAAAAGATTAAAAATTAAGAGAAAGAGAGAAGAAATCTTAACAAGGCTCTTTTCTTTTTCTCTGCCATCCTGTTCTTGCCAGTATACCCTACGGTGTGATATGCGACGTTCTCTGCTGGCAAAAGACCTGACTAAGACTTGTGAATTCATTGTCCACTCACTGGTAAGTGTGGTTTCTATTAACTACACAAAGCGATATTTTTTTTTTTTCACTTTAATTAAAGTTTGGCAGTAAGGTTAGAAAACCAAGTAAAACCGGGTAATTTGTAATAGCAACACATGGGATATGTATGAGTAAAGGAAGCTGGCTTCAAAACAAAAACATCCAGAAGAGCTAGGGAGTCAGTTGCTTCTGATTAGACTAACACATTTCTCTTTTCATTTAAAGAAAATAGTACAAAGAGCATTTGGATTATAAGATGTTTTTACACTGCACTGAGTTTATTCTCTTATTTGTCCTTGCAGTTCTGAAACAATGGTGTGGTTAGATAAATATTACAGCATTCTTTTAAACACTGTTTCAGATTATGTGAGCATTTCTTAGCCAAAGGTTCCAGGCACCCACAATGCCTGTCCTAGAAGTGGGAGTTTGTTGGTGGAAAATAGTAGATTTCTGTTCTTCAGGCGACTAATTATGATTTAGAACCCTGACTCAAAGTATCAAATCTAGAACTGCATCAAGTTGGAAATAAGAATCTTGTCAGCTTAATCACCTTTGCTGTTAAGTAAAACCCATGGTTGGCAACATGTTGTGATAACTAGGTTAACGAATATCCACATTCTGTGCTAAGCAACATGGAGACAGACTTCTTCCTGTGGAGATATCATTGTGGGATGGGATTTAACCATCTCACAAGAAATGCTTTGCTCCTTCTATTTGAACTTCCTATGTCAGATTGTTTTTTAGTTTATATTGACTTGTACACATGTCCAGAGCATCTGATGTCAGTACAAACTTTGCAGGCCTAATTAAGTACCCCTTTTTTCCACCCACAACTTGCTAGAACAGACTGTTTGTATCATTCCTTTGAACTCTAACAGGACAGTAAACTATTAGACTGTTCTGTCTTACTTATGAATAATGGTGGAAATGTTATTTTAGTTCTATAGTACCTTTTTTAAAGATTTAGCGAAGTGCTATAAAGAAGTTTCCTGTTGGTAAGATTTCATTATTTTCTAAAATGTGTTATGCTACATTTTATTAGCCACATTTGTCAAAATAGTGAACAAATTGCATATTATGCAGTTTCTTGATATTATTTCTCGTTCCCACTACAGCACTTCTTAGATCACAAGTCAGTAAATCATGAATCTCTCAGGGTGAACTAATGAGGTTTTACTGAACATATAATTCTCACTGTCAGTGCTCAGTGTACCATTTCCCTTAACCTTATTCTTTGCCATCAATTGTTATTTATGGGAAAATACAGTCACATCTTTTGCTAATATCTTCCATCTTGCAGCTGGGCAGCAGGAGCTATTTTGAATTCTTAAGTAGTGAGAGTAGCTCCGAACTAGGTGTTCAAGTTAAGCCCATTTGTGGTGGTGTGCTCTGCCAACTCCCAGTTACAGACAGTTGGCTGTCTCATATTTGATGCTGCACTGGCCACTTATTCT